CTTTACCATAAGGGCACACGGGGCCCGTGCCCAGGGCCCATTCTCAGGGGGCCCCCGAAGGACTGACAATATTTCTCACACATTTATTCTCAAAAGATCTTTGTCGGGCACACTACACTTTTTTCACAAATCAGTAATGTTATCAGAAGGTATTTACAAGACATATACTACGTCATTATACCGATTACTTCGCATATTCCTATGTTCTTATATCTAATGTTTTTTTTTACTTTCCAAAATATGTAATTGGTTTGTATTTATTAGTTGTAATTTTGTTATAATTATTATCATTAATATTTTAAATAGTGCCCACTCTCTCCCCCCCTTTTATATATATATATTTGGTGCCACTGAAAACCAGCTGTATGTTCACATAGGACATACATTAAAGCTGAGTGGAGCCATTTCAGTGGATGTAAAAAATGATTATTTTTAATTATCTACACGGTAAATTAAGATTAATTATATGTACATTTTAAATGCTCTTTTTTTCCTTTTGTCGTTTATATTGTATTTTTTACATTGCACTGAATAAAATATTTTTCTTTCTTTCTTAAAAGGGCCCCGAATGCTTGTGTGCCCAAGGGCCCCAGCCTAGTTTAAGACTGCGATATACATAAGGTTGCCTTGAAAAGATTGCTTTCAGCAATAAGACCGCCTCATAGTTATAATAATAATAATCTCAGGACAATTCACACAGCGCCATCTAGATCCAAGTTAAGCTAGCTAAAGTTTGTGTTATGGGTACTAGATAACTGATACAAATACATAGATTTTTTTGTGAATACATACATATTATACATAGAAAACACCCAGACCGATACAAACAATCATACTCATGAATACAAATGTTTGTGCCGTGCGAGGAATCGAACCCGCGACCATCGGGAATAAAGATATGTGGTAAACCGCTAGACTAGCGAAGCCGTTAGTTATCTATACATCTATACATATAAATAAAATTGTAGTGTCTGTTCGTAATATTTTATATATATATATATATAATTTTTTTTTACAATTTTTGTCTGTCTGTTTATTTGTTCCGTCTAATCTCTAAAATGACTGGACCGATTTTGACGGGTGTTTTATTGGTAGGAGTAACTTAGATTACATTTATTTAAAAAAAATCTCTAATTAACTTTTATGTTAAATTCCACGTGGACTTAGTCGCGAGTACAACTAGTTATACATATAAACCTTCCTCTTAAATCACTCTATCTATTAAAAAAAACCGCTTCAAAATCCGATGCGTAGTTTTAAAGATTTTAGCATACATAGGGACAGATAGCGACAGCGACTTTGTTTTATACTATGTAACGAAGTATAAATACAAATACATACATGTAGTTCATAAAGTAATTACTTGCACACGACCTTGGGATCGACACCCGTACACAGACAAACATACGATCGATGGTAATACCATTATCCGATCGGTACAATGATAGATCGATCCGTGTGCGCTCGCCCTTATTGGTCGCGGCGAGTTTTTCCCAATGTTCGTGATGAATGTGGACTTTGATTAATGAGTGCCGTCTTAGGACGACTACACTAGTCAGATTTCTATGCGATTTATTTGCGACTAGCTTATCCCCTTAGGGGTGGAGTTTATCAAAATACTTTCTTATGGGATGCCTACGGCATAGTAGCTTTATGCATGCAAAGTCTCAGCCCGATCGGTTTAAAATTGACAAAGTTTCATACAAAGTTTCACCTTCTATTTTATCCCCTTAGGGATGGAATTTATCAAAATCCTTTCTTAGAGGATGCCTACGTAATAGTAGCTTTATGCATGCAAAGTCTCAGCCCGATCGGTTTAAAATTGACAAAGTTTCATACAAAGTTTCACCCTCTATTTTATCCCCTTAGGGATGGAATTTATCAAAATCCTTTCTTAGAGGATGCCTACGTAATAGTAGATTTATGCATGCAAAGTCTCAGCCCGATCGGTTTAAAATTGACAAAGTTTCATCCTCTATTTTATCCCCTTAGGGATGGAATTTATCAAAATCCTTTCTTAGAGGATGCCTACGTAATAGTAGATTTATGCATGCAAAGTCTCAGCCCGATCGGTTTAAAATTGACAAAGTTTCATACAAAGTTTCACCCTCTATTTTATCCCCTTAGGGATGGAATTTATCAAAATACTTTCTTAGAGGATGCCTACGGCATAGTAGCTTTATGCATGCAAAGTCTCAGCCCGATCGGTTTAAAATTGACAAAGTTTCATACAAAGTTTCACCCTCTATTTTATCCCCTTAGGGATGGAATTTATCAAAATCCTTTCTTAGAGGATGCCTACGTAATAGTAGATTTATGCATGCAAAGTCTCAGCCCGATCGGTTTAAAATTGACAAAGTTTCATCCTCTATTTTATACTCTTAGGAATGGAATTTATCAAAATCCTTTTTTAGAGGATGCCTACGTAATAGTAGCTTTATGCATGCAAAGTCTCAGCCCGAGCGGTTTAAAATTGACAAAGTTTCACCCTCTATTTTATCCCCTTAGGGATGGCATATTCATTTATATTTAACCAACAGCCTCAAAAATAAATTTCTAGCTTCTAGCTTAAAAAATGACGAATTTACATAAAAACTTTTATCCCCTATTTTATTTTACCCCACTAAGGGTGAAATTTTTACAAACTTACAATTTTATATTTATTTATATTTAATCAACAGCCTCAAAAATATGCTTCAAAAATGACGATTTTTTCATACAAAATTTTCATCCCCAATTTCAACCCCTTACAACCCTTTTTCGCATTAAAAAGTAGCCTATGTCCTTTCTCAGGGTCTAGACTATTTGTGTACCAAATTTCATTTGAATCGGTTCAGTAGTTTTGGCGTGAAAGCGAGACAGACAGACAGACAGAGTTACTTTCGCATTTATAATATTAGTGATGTGAGAACCACTAATTATGATGTACGACCGAGGCTTTGAAGCCGGCTACCGCATGGGAAACCCCAAGTAGCGCCCGTGACTTGTGACACGGGTGTAGGTTTAAAAAAGGCCCTTTTAGAATGCATTAACACTCACCTTCACTACTTGCAGCTTCCCCCCAGGCCCAACTAAGACCGGGATAAACCCATTGAATTGAATTTTGATTTGAAATTTTGAATTTTGATTTTTGAATTTTGAATTTTGAATTTTAAATTTTGAATTTTGAATTTTGAATTTTGAATTTTGAATTTTGAATTTTGAATTTTGAATTTTGAATTATGAATTTTGAATTTTGATTTTGAATTTTGAATTTTGAATTTTGAATTTTGAATTTTGAATTTTGAATTTTGAATTTTGAATTTTGAATTTTGAATTTTGAATTTTGAATTTTGAATTTTGAATTTTGAATTTTGAATTTTGAATTTTGAATTTTGAATTAGAATTTTTAATTTTTAATTTTACTAACCCGTCGTGTGATTATTAATTGTACAAAATATCCAATCACAATGTTTAAAAAAAACTGCGTCTAGTGGTAAGTTTGTGGTCGTCTTTACACCACAATGAAAATGGAACGGTGAGTGTGTTATTATGTCTTTATGAGCTGCTATTACGTCATTGGCTCTTGGCATCCGCCCCGCCGGAACTACTAAGTCGCAATTTGTCTTTTTATGGATGACTAGCCGTGCCCGCGACTTCGTCCGCGTGGAATAGTGACCGCGATTTTTATTTTACTTACATTTAATTTTATAGGTAAATTTCTAAAAACTTTGAATATCATATTTATTTATGTTTAATCAATAGCCTAAACAATAAGTTTCAATCTTTCTTCCATACAACCCTTCATCGCCCCTTTCAACCCTTTTTTTATAGTATACTAGTCACTCGCCCCGGCTTTACCTGTGTGTACATGTATTATATATATAAAAAACTTCCTCCAGAATCACTCAATCTATTAAAAAAAACCGCTTCAAAATCCGTTGCGTAGTTTTAAACATTTAAGCAATGAACCACCTGCCGAGGTTTTCTCGAGAGACTACAGCATGGGGTTTTTCAAGAAGGGTATATTAAGGTTGCTTAAGGATCGGCAGCTAAAGGGACTGATAGAAGATCGTGGAAGGTGGCGGGAGCTCCACCGACAAGAGCACAGCTCTTAAATTATGAATGAATGAATGAAGGGTCGGCAACGCGCACGTGACACCCCTGATGTTTCAGGCATCCATAGGCTACGGTAACCATTTACCATCAGATGGGCCGTATGCCTGTTTGCCACTATAGTAGTATGGAACACAGTCACCTAGATACATAAAATAATAATTGCATTTAATAATGTCTAGTAAGACAAACTCAATATTGTCTACTAGGCACTGCTGTATCTAAACTGTGTCACCCCACCTTACATTTTCCTATTGTTATTTAGTATATAAGATCATTATTTCTATGTACATATTGTCAGTTTATCATCATCTGTAATATACATCGTCTCAACAACAACATAGTATCATTTACCCGCAACAGTAGTATAAAAAAAAATAAGAAAAAAAGCATACATAGGGACAGACAGCGATAGCGACTTTTGGCGACTTCAAGATATGTGGCGGCGCGGCGTGGTGGGCCGGGTCATTGGGTTCCCTAAAATATGGTCGAGCGCAGTGATGGCTGGCTCATCCGTCATACTCGTGGACGGGTGCTGCTTGTAGGGACTGGTCTGCTCTTATCACTACGACTGATTTAATCTTATTGCATATTTATATTTGACCCTAATAAATTAGTGCTGGTTCGTAGTTTGTATTCAAACGTTTTGACTTGTAAATGTAAACTTACAAGGATTATTTAAAAGAGCAACACACAAGTTTCTTGCTCGTTCTTCTTGTGATGAGACAGCTTTCCGAATGAGCGGTAGATTTAAAAAAATGTTGACTATTCAAAAGTGCTTAAATTAAGTTTATTTGAATAAATGATTTTCTATTCTATTCTACTTTATTTTATACTATGTAGTGAAGTAATAGACCTACATGAATAAAGATATTTTTAATTTGAATTTTAATAATACTGTCGTGATGTTTCCAGAGGAAGAATGCGAGGAGTCAGCGTGCGGGGGCGCGGTGAGGCACCGCCCCGAGCCGCTGGGGGCGCTGGCGCAGTCCACGCGCTTCACACGGCACGAGATCAAACTCATGTACCGGGGGTTCAAACAGGTATTGCAACCATCGCTTCCTACTACCCATCCCTATAACGTGCCGCGTACGCTTAAAAAACAGCAATTACAGCATACCTGTCCTCTCCGGTAGATCAGAAGAATTGATATTACGACGGCCTGAGCCGAGGTTCGAACCCGGATACGACGCCAGTCTGCGCGGTATCCTCAGACTGGCGTCGTATCCGTCAGGCGGGAGTTGTCCTTCAGCCGCTCCATAAGTCCTTTGGTTTGTGCCATCTGCACTCGCCCCCTATCGTCCGGTGAAGCTGTAAAGGCCAGCTGCGGCCAACATTAGAGTAGACAGAAAAAAAACAACATAGATGTACCGGTGGACTGTTTGCTATATAGCGATTTCTGTTCTTTCAGTTATGAATGTAATTTATTTAATAATTTTCTAAAATCTTCCATTCAGTTCAGGGTACAGATTCAGTTGAGATGAACTGACAAGAAACTCAAATGTTCTTTTTAAATTCAATCTGGTAATTATTTATTTATTCAACATTAAATGTATAAAGTTAGTATTCAGAGCATGCATTATTAAACTCAGGACATGATGCCAACGGCCACCATTTACCATCGCACCGCTCACCATCGACAGGGAATTCATCCACACGCTGGAACCTAAGTGGTTTCGGACAGTGCGGTTTCAGAGGAGCTTCCTCCCGCGTACACTTACATTGTGGAATGAACTACCTGCCGAGGTTTTCTATAGAGACTACAGCATGGGGTTTTTCATGAAGGGTATATTAAGGTTTCTTAAGGGTCGGCAACGCGTGATAAGGGTATCACAGGTCATCGTCATTACATAGTATAAAATAAATCTTTAAAATTACGCAACGGATTTTGAAGCCGTTTTTTTTATAGATAGTGATTCAATAGGAAGGTTTATATGTATAATACATGTACACGTGCGAAGCCGGGTTGGGTGGCTTGTTTATAATATTAATAAAGATATGTAACAGTTAGTTGTTTGTTTTAATAAAATTACATTTGGTTACGTTTCAGGAATGTCCGTCCGGTGTGGTCGACGAGGAGGCATTCAAGCATATATTCTCACAATTCTTCCCTTTAGGAGGTCAGTATTACCTGATGAATGAATGAATGTATGAATGAATGAACGAACGAACGAATGAATGAATGATTGAATGAATTTATGAATAGTTTCATTCATTCATTCATTCATTCATTGTACCTGCAGAAGTTTCCTGACGAGACTACAGCATAGGTTTTTTTTGCTTTTCATAGTACAATAAAAATATGTAAAATCTCTATTTGCAAAAGATATATATATATATATAAATATACATAGATTCTAATTATTTAATTGTGTACGTGCAATTTTCAGATGCATCGCAATACGCTCATCTCGTGTTCAACACGATTAAACACAAGCAGAGCGGTAAGATAAATTTTGAGGTGAGTTCTGAACGATCATAGCCTTGTAAAATAAGTAAATAACCCTCAACATACAACGGCATCTGGTTCATAACTAGTCACTACATAGTATAAAACAAAGTCGCTGTCGCTGTCTGTGTCTATGTATGCTTAAATCTTTAAAACTACGCAACGGATTTTGAAACGGTTACTTTTAATAGATAGAGTGATTCAAGAGGAAGGTTTATATGTATAATATTGTAGAGAAACATTGATAAATTTAGAGGGTTCTAATCTGATATCGTAAATAAACACATTTTTACGCTTATATTGCAAACGCTGGCTGAACCCCACGAGATAAATCAAAATAATGTATGATTAATGATAATAAAATGATTATTGAGTTACCATTTTTAACTAAGGCACATAATAGTAACACGATGGACCTAGAACTTCGCTCAATAAAATTAAAATAAAACAAAACAATACCACTAAAGCTAGAACTTCGTCTCAATAAAAATAAAATAAAATAAAACAATACAACTAAATAAAACAATTATGTAAATGCAAGGATAATGAAGTTGCTCCGAATTTTGTTTTTATGTGTAAAGTTCTTGCGGTTTAAGAAATTAAACAGGGGTAAAGTCCGGAAGCTGTTCAGACTGCGGCCTGTGAGATGAGAGGACGAGATGTTGAGATCAACACGCGAGTTTCTCGCTCGGTCTTCTTGTGATGAGTCTGCGTTGCAAATGAGTCGTAGAATAAAAAATATGACTATAATTTGTTTTTTTAATAAAGATTATTTAGATTTCTAATTATAGGAAAATATAAGGTTTTTCAAGCTTTCAATGTAAACCTGGAATGTAACTTTGTTTTTCTAAAATAAAAGCCTAAATTACTCCTTACTACACCAGCTACCTGCCAAAAAAAGTCCCGTCAAAATCGGTCCTGCCATTTCACAGATTAACCGGAACAAACAGGCAGAGAAAAATTGTAACAAACGTTATTTTCGTGTATGTACCGTATTTATATACATATGCATGTAGTAAAAACGGTTATTTCAATATTACAAACAGACACTCCAATTTTTTTTGATAAATTCATTAAGATTTAGCAAGATGGTTTCCAGGGAACCGCGTGGAGGTCAACCTGCTAGCAATAAGATCATCAGTCCACATTACTACCAATCACCTTTCCCCTCACTTGACCATCCTTACGACCTTCTCTATTGGTGATCAAATCCCGACCGTTATTGAGTCTGCATCCATATCGCGTCGTGTTTCTCCTCTGAACCAGGCTTCATCAGGCGGTGAATAGAGTTCCGATATAGCTTGGAAGCCCCATAGAGTTGACTGTCTGTACACGACTCTTTACATTTGGGCCGCTGGCTGGTACGACTATTCCTTATTTTTAAATATTTATATTTTAATATCGGTTGCTATGGATTGTATATATATTTGTTATTTATTACCAAGAAGAAAATTTTACAATAATAATAATCCTTGTATTGCTTAAATAATCTTGCTTTCATATAGTTTGTTACGACATATACTTTTATAATATACTATCCTTTTACATATTGCATCTTTAATTACCACCATCGTTGGCTACACCGACCCCAGCGCCCTATACACAGTCCCACACACTGTCCGACGACCAAACAGCGGTTTTATGTGGTACCCGCTACCGCTTCCGCTTGTCACTGTGTCTGTATACCATATCAATCTAAGATACTGACGTATACACAGAAGCCTTGCTTTCCATCTATACATATATATAAAACTGGAGTGTCTGTTTGTAATATTGAAATAAGCGTTTTTTACTACACGTATATGAATATAAATACGGTACATACACCGAAGTAACATTTTTTACAATTTTTGTCTATCTGTCTGTCTGTTTGTTCCGGTTAATCTCTGAAATGCCTGGACCGATTTTAACGGGACTTTTTTGGCAGGTAGCTGATGTAATAAGGAGTAACTTAGGCTTTATTTTAGAAAAATACTCTAATTAACTTCTTGTTTTTATTGTGCGAGTTTGTATTGCGTTGTATGCGCTGCCGCTTCCGCTTGTCACTGTGTCTGTATACCATATTTGATTGCACATAAAGATTCTACTGCAGTACAATGTCAGTTTTATAGTACTTTCCCTAACATTTTGGTAGCAGAGAGTAAATTCCGTAACAGTCAGTATGAAAGTACTACCAACCACCGTACATCAGTCAAGTTGGTTCCTGTCTGATTAAAATGTTTTAATTCGCTGATGTTATATTGTATTTTGTTGAATCGAGCAACTATTATTGATCTGTTAAATGAGGGACGGATCGTGAACTTGTGATGCCCTGGACTAAATCTACTTAGGGCGCTACCTAATTATATTACTCAACTAAAATAATACACCGACCAAAAACAAGCGACCAGAGATTCCCCGTTCCTTTCAATAGACGCGCACTTGCATGAGTTGATTGATCTCAGTGTTGCCAACCTTATGATAGGTATATTAACATTCTAGATAATTTTTTTATATGCTAAATATTGTTTCAGTGGGAACTGAGGCTCTTTGTATCCTCGGGGCCCTGGACTGTAGCCCAAAAAGCCCTTAGGTAGATCCGCCCCTGTGTTAAATCATATTTATTGAACACTCACGAAACGATTAACAAATCTCGAGGAATTCCTGAAAACAAACATTGTTTATATCAGTAACTGTTAAATCATATTTACTGAGCAAGGCCTATTACTCACTAAACGATTACTTGAATGACGAACGTGCATGGTCATGCACTGGATTTTCATTTAATGTTAGACATAGACACCTATATAAATATACATTGTAAATAAACTGGCTTTAAAAAAGAAATAATTCAATTGAGTTTCTTGCCAGTTCTTCTCAATTGGATCTATATACCGAACTGGACGGTCGGGAAAAAAATATAATGTAAAAACTTGACGTTCATAAGCGGCTAAAATGTCCTACACGAATAAATTATTTTTGAATTTGAATTTGAATTTGAACGGTTGTCTGTTGAAGCCTGTTTATTCTCTCCACAGAAGTTTCACAATTGAGTTATAGCTATATTCGATGTTACATATCAATTTCAGTTTCACTGTAGCTCAGACTGTATCGCGTCTATAGGAAACTACTGCGGCTAACTCTACAATAATAACGGACTATAACTGCCGTCCGTACTGTGTTTGATTATAACATCCGTCGCCGTATAAAAATCCGAGTATGACTGTCTGAGTACAATTCTCGATGGTAACTCCTCGATTATAACTAACTTAATACTTTTTCTGTCTACTCTAATGCTGGCCGCAGCTGGCCTTTACAGCTTCACCGGACGATGGGGGGCGAGTGCAGATGACACAAACCAAAGGACTTATGGAGCGGCTGAAGGCCAACTCCTGCCTGACGGATACGACTTTAGTCTGAGGGCACCACTAGGGGTTCGAACCTCGGCTCAGGCCGTCGTAATTTCGATCCCCGTTTGAATTGGGCGGAGGATCAATTGTGTGTTTGAGGTCGTCGTCTTCGCCGGCGAGGACGGTGTCGTGTGTGTGCGTAAAATTGCGGTCGGGGTGAAGCACTTAATACAAAAAATCCTCGCCTTATATATTGGAGGTATAGACTGTAGTGGGGACTACAGTCCTTACAAATATCTTACTGGCAATAAACCAAACCTTATTTCTATCAGACAATGCACAACGTTATACAACTTCATAACAATATCCTTTCACATTACTGAAATTCCCTTACTTATTTAGTCTCACAAACTAACAGTTACTTATGTTATTAGTATGACGGATGAGCCAGCCATCATTGCACTTAACCATATTAGAGGGAGCACATCGACCCGGCCCACCACGCCGCCACAAGTTTGAACTTTATACCGAGCATGACTGTTTCAAGTTACTCCACTACGTCATTTATATTATTTACATCATAAACTGTACCAATCACAGTTTCCACCCATTACAATATTTAATTTACATCTTCTTTAACATCTACATCTTCTTTTATTCATATCACCTTTCACACAATCCATCCATCTTTTCTTAGGGCGTCCCCTCCCTTTACATCCATCCACATTAATATTATACAGTTTCAATAAATGTATAATATGAATGTAGATCCAATATACAAGCACATAAAAAACAATGTTTGTTTTCAGGAGTTCCTCGAGATTCTATCGAGGGTGGCCCGAGGGTCTGTCCAGGAGAAGTTGTCGTGGGTGTTCGCGCTGTACGACGTGGATGGAGATGGGCGCATCTCCCGCGCCGAGATGCTGTCCGTGGTGCAGGCGATATATGAGCTGCTGGGCCGCGCCGCCGCTCCTCCAGTTCACTCCACCGCAGCCAAGGACCACGTCGACAGAATCTTCCATGTGGGTATTGTCCATGTTGTGTGTTATGGATACGAAATTTCGGATACGGATAGGTTTCGGATATAGTAATGATTGTTATACCGGATACGGATACGGATATGAAATTATTTCGGATAGTTTCGATAACGGATATTTTTTTTTATAATGAATTTCAAAAGTAAAATACAAATCTATACATATAAATAAAATTGTAGTGTCTGTTTGTAATATTGAAATAACCGTTTTTTACTACATGCATATGAATATAAATACGGTACATACACCAAAATAACATTTTTTGCAATTTTTGTCTGTCTGGACGATTTTTGAATGGCTGGACCGATTTTGATGGGACTTTTTTTGGCAGGTAGGTGATGTAATAAGGAGTAATTTAGGCTACTTTTATTTTAGAAAAATAATGTTAATTTCCACGCGAAGTCACGGGAACAACAGCCGTGGACTAGCAAGATACTTGTAAATATTAGTATTCGAAAGTTTTATATATAAGTTTATTTTAATAAAATTTTTTTTATTTTATACAAATTCTCTTTACCACTTACCATCAGGGTGACTGTCGATCTGTGTGTCATTATAATTATATAATATATAAGGGGGTTGTTAGTAATGTGGACTGATGATCTTATTGCTAGCAATGTACCATATTAGGTTGACCTCCACGCGGTTCCCCCTGGAAACCATCGTGACAAATTCCTGGTAGCTTGTCACGATGTGCTAACTGATCTGACCTCATGGTCATCTTATCATCCTCCACTGGTGCCCCGCCAGCGTATACCGTTAGCGCAGGCGGGTAATGTAATGCAAATTGGAGTCTATAATATTCTATATCTAGAATAGTCTCCGCAATCAGCCTCTGGTTGTGTGTGTGTCTGTTGTGCGTGTAGAGCCAGACTACTGAAGTAGTCAGCCAAGCTCCTCCCAAAAGCGCACCCGTCTGCGCTTATATGACACAAATTTCCGCGAAATCGTCCGCATAGTTATGGCGCGAAAACGAAGTCCTAAGTTAACTTTTAATTTAAAATACAAGTAGGAGTAACGATTATCATTACGGTCGTATTATCATCGAATTAAGAAAATGTATTCAATAATCCAACCCAAAAAAAGCCAAAGAAAAAGTTTCACCCTACATCCCTTATTTTATTTAGGGTACTATTTTTTACAAATTTTGAATGTCATATTTATTTATATTTAAACAACAGCCTAAAAAATAAGTTTCAACCTTCTAGCTTTAAAAATGTCAATATTTCCATACAACAACCCCTTTTTCGCATTAAAAAGCAGCCTATGTTCTTTCTCAGGGTCTAGACTATTTGTGTACCAAATTTCATTTAAATCGGTTCAGTAGTTATGGCGCGAAAACGAGACAGACAGAGTTACTTTCGCATTTAAAATACAAGTAAGGAGTAACGATTATCATTACTATCGTATTATCATCCATAAAAAAAATTCCATGGTAACTTGCAGTTGATAGACACGAACGCTGACGGCGTGGTGACCCCGGATGAGCTGGCGCGGTGGTGCAGCCGCGACCCCGCGCTGCTCAGCTCGCTGGACACGCTCGACACCGTGTTGTGACCCCCCGCGACCCCCGCGACCCCCGCGACCCCCGCACTCCGCAGGTACGCCGCTCGCTGGACACGCTCGACACCGTGTTGTGACCCCCCGCGACCCCCGCGACCCCCGCACTCCGCAGGTACGCCGCTCGCTGGACACGCTCGACAACGTGTTGTGACCCCCCGCGACACCCGCGAATCCCGCACTCCGCAGGTACGCCGCTCGCTGGACACGCTCGACACCGTGTTGTGACCCCCCGCGACCCCCGCGACCCCCGCGACCCCCGCACTTCGCAGGTACGCTGCTCCTGCTTTACCCAGGACGATCTGGCTCGATGGTGTCCGTCGATGGCTCTCACCACGGGCCCCCTGAGGGCGAAGGGGTCGTCACTCTCACTGAACGACTCCCGACTAATGACGGAAGTTTTGCTCCCTCTTGTGCTGATGGAACTCTAGTCAATCAAATGGAAATATCGTGTAGGTCTATTACAGACTCTTATGATATGTCAAATCTACCGTCAGTTCGGAGTGCTCTCTAGCTAGGAACAACTGACAAGAAACTCAGCTCTTTCAAATATGTTTGTACATGATTAGCCCACCAGCATATGGTCAAAGCGAAATAATTAGTCAATGGCCGTAACAGGAATAGACCAGTCCACAAAAGCATCACCCGTTCTTATAACGAGATGAGCCAACCATCATTGCACTCAACCATTTTTTTTAATGATGATAAGGGAATGGTGCACCGCCTGCGCTAACGGTTTACGCTGGCAGCACCAGTAGAGGATGATAAGATGAACATGAGGTTAAGTCAGTTAAGACATCGTGACAAATTCACCAGGAATTTATCATGGTGGTTTCCTGGCGGAACCGCGTGGAGGTCAACCTGACATGGTACATTGCTAGTAATGGAGTCATGAGTCCATATTACTAACAATCCCTTTTTCCCCCTACTCAACCATATTAGAGGGACCATATTGATTCAGCCCACATACCTACAATAGCTAAGGATAAACATCAAATCATCGAATTCAGATTTAAATTGTTGTATTCGGTGTACAGGTCAGACTCTGCCCACGCATCCTGCTCCACGGCGGCTGACAACTGCGACTCACCTCCAGCTGGTCCTCCCCCTCCTCTACCAGTCACATCTCCTCCTATCTCACCCCCTGTACAGGTTCTGAAGGAGACAGGAAAGCAGAGAAGAGCTTCACAACCGCCGCCAGTGCCGGCGAGAGTCACTGCTACAGTCAGTGTAAGTTACATTTTTTATTTGCTTGAACATTTACATTATCATCATGATCTTACACGTGTAAGGTATAAAGGCCTCATATTCAGGAAGCATGCAAATTACAATACTCAATGATTTACAAATAAATTACATTACAAATACAAAAGAATGAATACATTAGAGGAAGTATGAAAGTGGCGCCGGTGTCAGAGAGGTTGAAGAGTAATCGTCTATCATGGTATGGACATGTAATGCGTAGGAATGAGGATAATATTTTAAGGAAAGTGTTACATATGAATGTGGATGGTTATAAGGGCAGAGGAAGGCCGAAAAAGAGATGGATGGACTGTGTGAAAGATGATATGGTGAGAAAGGAAGTAAATAACGAGATGACTGCAAACAGGGATGAAAGGAAGAGAAAAACATAATTAGGACCACAAATAAATGGGATAAGGAAGAAGCAGATGATGAAATACAGAAGAAGAAGCCGCTTATCTATTTGCTAAAATACATCCTAAACGATTGTCTACAAATCTTATTTTCTTTCATATATTGCAGGTAACAGAAGAAGCTGTAACACGTAAAGTGAAACGGCGAGTACGGCGTATGTCGTCCCCTCAACAGTCGCGGTGAAGACCTTATAACGTTGGAGATACGGTTGAAATTTCTATAAATATCTAATAAGATATAAGTTGCGATGAAAATTCTACTCTATTGCATATATATAAGAATGTAAATTCAACTTCAGTGCTATATGTGATTGATACTATCTACGTATTGCCTTTCAATGATATTTATGAAGTAGTTTCTTTAGAGAATGGTGTGTTCAATATGAGAAATGGAAACAAAACTAGTTGAATGTTGGATGAGGTTACTGATTGAATCTAAGTTATAAATGAACTTCATTAAACAAAATAAGATATTTAAAGATAGTCAAATGAATAGGGATGAAGTATTCTTTTTCCTGTTAATTATAAAGTATTTAAACTTAAATATTAATGTAGCAGTTCATTACTACTATATTGAAGTCAGTCCCCACTCAGTTACTACTACACTGAATGTAATATATAATATATAGTTTGCAATCTAAACCCCTCTTATAAAAAATAAGCTTTCACTGGCTACTTTGTCAGATGGTGCAACTGTATTTTTTCTTATAGATGATAATGGAATAGTGCACCTGATTGCCCTTAGGTTGAGGTTTAGGCTTGAGGTTTACGCTGATAATAAGATCAGCATAAAGTCAGGACGTTCAGGAGTTGTTCTATCGTGACAATTCACCAGGAATTTATCATGATCTTCTGGGGATTCGCGTGGAGGTCAACCTGACATGGTACATTACTAATAATGGGGTGAATTAACCACATTACTAACAATCCCCTTCACCCTGATGCAGTAGTATTTAATACTACCAGTAGTTTCTGGTAACCATCAGTCATTAGGTCATAATCCTTTAATAGTGTCCTTAAATTTATCAAATATGGTTTAAACATTTACAAGCAAGCATAAGACAAGCTTATTAAATTGCATTTGATGTCGTCAAAATAATAATTATGTTCATACAAGTCTTCAATACTGAAAGAAGTAATTTAAATTTGCAAGTATTGATTAAGTAAATCCCAAATATTTAACATTAGTTAATCTAGATATATTTATAATGTAACATAAATAAGTAGAAATTGGTAAGAAACGTGCTAATGTAACTGATAATAATCTTCGTCAAGATCTATTTAAAATTATGAAACTCTTGTAACTATAAAGTTATTTCTAATTCGTTAGTTGTAATATTAAGTTAATTATTTCAATGAATGTATGCGTATCTGAGGAAACGTTAAGCAATACATCAGTATTAAGTATTCGTTAATAATAGTGTAATGGTTTGTTAATAATGTTTAGAGACGCTAGAACTTTGTTATTGTCAATTTTACAATTCCATTGCTTTGTAGCTTTAATAATTCTTAGTATTTCTGTAATGGGGACCTTCAAATAATATGCATGCACTTAATGCAAACGTAGTGTTACCTTCAATAATTGCTTCCTTCAAAATCTATTCTCTTATGATGTATTGATAGACCAGACCTAGATTAAGAGTGATTTAAAGAGGCCAATTTAACTCGTTTTGAGAATATAACTATTTTAAATAGAGCACAATATTTACAAACTATATTATATAAAAACATATCTGCACCTGACCACTCATTAAACAATTACATGAGAACACCATAACGATATAAGGTAATATATGGTTCCATATTGTCATAAATAACGTTGAATTTTGAGAATTTATCTAAAAAAGTAACTAGCTCATGGGAAATATCCTTCAAACGATAAATCTTATCTTATACATTATAAATTTAAAGTAAGTAATGTAATTATTGAACTTCCTGTCCTATCAAATACGATTCTCCTATACAATTTTACTTATTTCAATTATAATTATCATTATATAGACGGTCCTGATGTTTATCTAAATTGATTGGGTTCACAAAGTATATTGAAGTACGTACTAGATATGTAGATTTTTCATAATTCTTCTTTCGTTTGGAGTAGGTTGCGCTAGCCGTGGTCCGAGCTGACTAGTTCGAGTTTAGTCTAAAATTATTTGTGTTTATGCTCGGTTAACAATAAATAACACTGGTCAACGCAAGCCTTGTTTCCTTAATTTTTTTCTATTTTTGGCTATTTTTTTGGTTCTGAGTCATCATCTACTTCTTCCTTATCCCATTTATTTGTGGCCGTCGTAATATGTTTTTCTCTTCCATTCATCTCTGTTCGCAGTCATCCCGTTATTTTTTTGGTTCTGAGTATGATAGAAAATACTGGGAGATTGCTAATAGCTTCAATTTATTATATATCTAAACAGTTTTATCATTCTTGATAAAAAAATATAGTTCAATATAGGTTTTTGACATTTTATAAATACATCTTTACCACAAATGTAGCAAAAATAATCGGGAATAATTACACATCTTGTTGACGAAGCCTCATAGAAAACAACAACAAATTATAATTCAGTGTCCGATAAAAAACGCAAATCAAAGTTGAACATATGTAGAGTAAATGAAGGAAGCTAGCTGTGACAAGAACAAAAGCTTTGAGAAGAATTGTTATATTCAAACAATAAGCGTTAATTCGAGGTAGAGACTAGAGATGTGACGATCGGCTACTATTTTGTATTCGGCCGAATACCGAATACGACAAATCATGAAAGACGACGTCATGTTACTCAAGATTCTGTGTATGTATTAACAAATTACAATCTCTTAGTAAGTAAAATTGTCCAGTGGTAAATTGTGATGGATGTGGCAAAATAGTGGTTTATTTTTAATTTAATGATCCGCAAAGCGAGCCGTGACGTTTTTCCCGTTAACGTTGACCTCTCACTTGAACCCTGTCTCCCTCGTTGGGCTGCTGTATGCACTGCCACGAGGAAAATAGGTTACCGATAATTTTAAATGTTGCATTCTCAATGAGGCAAAACATAATCTATAATTATAACATAAACGTCTATGTCAGACTCGACCCATTGGCTTTGCGGATATTGCATCTCTGTGCATTTTCTACCGCATATATCACGGGGAGTGTTCTGAGGAATTGTTCGGATTAATACCAGCTGCTGAGTTTCACCACCGTACCACCCGCCAGAAACTAAAATGAAGATGCCATTCAGATCATCTGAATGAATGGCGGTCCTCCACAGTGCGGTTCTCTAGAAACTTTTTGCCTCGCACAACCACATTGTGGAATCACCTTCCAGCAATAGTATTTCCGAACCGATACGATATTGAAACCTTCAAGAAAAGAGCTTAATCCTTTTTAAAAGGCCGACAACGTACTTGCAATTCCCCTGGTGTTGCGGGTGCTCATGGGCGGCGGTAATCACTTACCATCAGGTGAGCCGCATGCTCGTTTGTGTGTTATAAAAAAAAACATAATAGGACATTATATTACAATAACAACCAATGTAACCTATGTTTATCTAAATATATATAACTCAAAGGTGACTGACATAGTGATCTACCAACGCACAGCCCAAACCACTGGACGGATCGGGCTGAAATATGGCATGTAGATGTTATGACGTAGGCATCCACTAAGAAAGGATTTTAATTAATTCTATCCGCAAGGGGATAAAATACGGGATGAAAGTTTGTCAATTTTAAACCAATCACGCTGAGACTGCATTCATACAGCTACTATGACGTAGGCATCCGCTAAGAAAGTATTTTGATATATTCCACCCCTAAGGGGATAAATTAACGCGAACAAAGCCGCGGGCAAAAGCTAGTGGCAAATAAATTTGATTTGATTTTTTATTCTAGTAGCATGTATTTTGTGCCAAATATTTGGCACTTCGGCCGACAGCGTTATTCTGTATTCGGCCAAATCATTATTCGTGGCAACAAATACTTCGTAGCGACGGCAAAAAATCGAAAGAAACAAACGATTTTTTGTTGTAATAAACAGGATATTTATAAAAGACAATGATTTTCATTTTGTTTAAGAAATAAAACATTGGTTTTCCGATGAATTTAGATATACACCAGCCGTTGTATAGAATATAGAGCTCGGTCTCTCTGACCAACACACGCCTTCACTATTGTGGATCACTTCGAGGCAATAATATTATATATATATATATATTATATAAGTAGTAGTAAATCCTTCTATTTGATCGTTGACAATCTAAAATATATTTTCTCTCTTAAACTTGTGGTTTCATTTCGTTTAAACCTGTCGTAACAAGTCCGTTACCAAAACTCACCCACATTTCGTGGCTCACTCATCATTTAGTAACGAGGCGCCCATAAATTACGTGAGGTGTTTTTTTTTTATTTTCTGTCCCTCCCTCCCCCCCTGGTGAGGGAGGGACAGATGAGATGTCGTGAGATTTTATTCAAACTGGGGAATGGGGGAGGGCCTCCATCCCCCAGTCTAACGTGAGATTTTTCAAAATAATAATAATCTCAGGACAATTCACACAGCGCCATCTAGACCCAAGTTAAGCTAGCTAAAGCTTGTATTATGGGTACTAGACAACTGATACAAATATATAGATATTTTTTTTTGTAAATACATACATATTATATATACATAGAAAACACCCAGACCGATACAAACAAAAAAAAATATAAAATTATATTAGTCGTCAAAAAGTCGATTTTTATTGTAAAAAGAAAACAACATTGCTTCGTGCTTTTATTTGCGACTAGTTAAGATTAGTAATCAATATTGCCGAGAGTTATAACTGTAATAAGCATGTACAATCTGTATTAAATGGACCAAAATTGTATATTTTTTTTTTTGATCAGAAAAAAATTGCGTGATATTACAATAGAGAATAGATAGATTTGACTCGACCCCCTCCCTCCTCTTAAACATCTCACGTAATTTATGGACGCCCTTTAAGTTTTAAGAATATAAAAAAAAAATATAAAGTACTGAACGAATTTTGATGAGAAAAAAAATGCTTTAGGGATAAAAAAATAAAGTACGCGCACAACCCTTAACTCTTAGGGGTATGAAATATAGTAACCGATTTTCAGACCTACTGAATCCCCTCCGATCGATGCCCCGTCCAATTCAAACGGGGATCGATATTACGACGGCCTGAGCCGAGGTTCGAACCCCTAGCGGTATCCTCAGACTGGCGTCGTATCCGTCAGGCGGGAGTTGTCCTTCAGCCGCTCCATAAGTCCTTTGGTTTGTGTCATCTGCACTCGCCCCCTATCGTCCGGTGAAGCTGTAAAGGCCAGCTGCGGCCAGCATTAGAGTAGACAGAAAAAAAACCTACTGAACTGTTTGTGAGGAGTATGGTAACTAACATTGTGACACGAGAATTGTATATATAAGAATAAGTTGCGTGAAATATATAAAAACATATATAGAGAGAAGAAGTAAATAAATAATATAAACATAAATAAAATTGGAGTGTCTGTTTGTAATATTGAAATAACTGTTTTTTACTACATGCATATGAATATAAATACGGTACATACACCAAAATAACAAAAATAACATTTTTTAGAGTCTGTCTATCTGCTTATTCCGGCTAATCTCTGAAATGGCTGGACCGATTTTGACGGGACTTTTATTGGCAGGTACCTGATGTAATAAGGAGTAACTTAAGCTACTTTTATTTTAGAAATATAAAGTTAATTTTCCCAGGACAATTAACACAGCGCCATCTAGTCCCAAGCTAAGCAGAGCTTGTGTTATGGGTACTAGACAATTAATACAAACACACAGATATTTTTTTTCGTAAATACATACATAATATACATAGAAAACACCCGGACCGATACAGACAATCATACTTACGGATACAAATGTTTGTGTGCGAGGAATCGAACCCGCGACCATCGGAAGTGAAGCGGTGTGCTAACCGCTACACCACCGAGGGCGTCATTTTTGTCGAGATTATCTGTTTGCATTAATATCCGTATTTTATTGATATCGCTCAGATATCATTCAGATAACGGTTGATAAGAACTTGCACGTGGATACAGATAAAAAACATTATGATGTTAAGATAATATTCACTTTCATCAAATCAATGTTATCCATAGATTATAATTTATTATAGAATTACGGATTTTGTTAATCTAAATATATACAACTCAAAGGTGACTGACATAGTGATCTATCAACGCACAGCCCAAACCACTGGACGGATCGGGCTGAAATTTGGCATGCAGGTAGATGTTATGACGTAGGCATCCGCTAAGAAAGGATTTTGATTAATTCTACCCCCAAGGGGATAAAATAAGGGATGTAAATATATTAGTTTGAATCTATCGGTACCTAATGGAACGAATAAATTAAGACGAACAAATAATTGTTATAATTATTAATTAATATAGTACTAGTTGACCCGTATAACTAAATTAAAATCGCTATTTCTAAAATAAAAATAAAATTGTAGTGTCTGTTTGTAATATTGAAATAACCGTTTTTTACTACATGCATATGAATATAAATACCGTACATACACCAAAATAACATTTTCTTATAATTTTTGTCTGTCTGTCTATTTGTTCCGGCTAATCTCTAAAATGGTTGGTCCGATTTTGACGGCACTTTTTTTGGCAGGTAGCTGATGCTTTAATATTAATTATGTATAATACTAGCTGATCCCGCGACTTCGTCCGCGAGGAATTAAACTTTATTTTTCTAAAATAAAAGTAACCTAAGTCACTCCTTATTACATCAACTACCTGCCAATAAAAGTCCCGTCAAAATCGGTCCAGCCTGTAATATTTTTAGATTTACATATAAATATAATTGGATATGTTTGCTTTATTCTGTCAAGGATGCTATAAAACGCGGACGAAGTCGCGGGCACAGCTACTCTTCTATATTCAAGTGTAACACAGTTAACAGTTAATCCACGGTTAAGTTAATGAGATTAGTAACGGCCGTAAACTATTTAATTAACGAATTAATTAACAGTAATCAGTTCACTTCACGTGCATGTGTTTATTTTTATGGTAAAAGTATAAAACTGGGTTATGGTATGCCTGAGACCTCAGTTGCCGTAATTATGAAGTTAACACTGGGTGAGTTTACCCCAATGACAAAACAGGGGGTGATATTTTTATATTTATTTGTTTACTCGCGACTTCGTTCGCGTAGAATTCAACTTTATTTTTCTTAAAAGTAGCTGATGTAGTAAGGAGTAACTTAGCCTAAGTTACTCCTTACCCGCCAAAAAAACGTTCCGTTAATATCGGTCCAGTTCATAAATTAGCCGAAACAGACAGACAGATAGACAAAAATGTTATTTTGGTGTATGTACCGTATTTATATTCATATGCTTATTGTAAAAAACGGTTATTTCAATATTACAAACAGACACTCCAATAATCTCAGGACAATTTACACAGCGCCATCTAGACCCAAGTTAAGCTAGCTAAAGCTTGTGCTATGGGTATGGTACTATATAACTGTTACAATTTTTTTTCATAAATACATAGAAAACATCCAAACCGACACAAACAACTCAAGAATACAAATGTTTGTGCCGTGCGAGGAATCGAACCCGCGAGCATAGGAAGTATGGCAGTGTTAAACCACTAGACCAATGAGGCCGTCAATTTTTTTGAAATCTCTCCTGTTACAGCACTCTCCGTCTTGCTCCTACATCACGTGATATCGTCCTCTGGTCGGACGATCACACAAACAAAGGGACCTACAGGTCCCAAAGAAGCTACTAAACTAACTAAACTCCCATCATTTCAAATACCCAATGCGAAAAGCATCGTCGATATGATACTACCTCTGCTTCGCAAATCTCAGAACGCAGATGCACGCTCCGGACACGATAAACAGACAGATAAAGAAGTGATAAATGATGAAAATGACGATCGTTTTGTAGAAATACTACCGTTGAATTCGAATATAAAAAGCAAAGGCGGAAAAGCACCTTTGGCATTAATATTAGCAACCACAAACGAAGATAACAGGAACGTAAATGATCCTGATCATATTAAGCAAGTGAACTCTCATTATAAGGATTCTGATGAGGAAAACAGCAACGTGGAAGAGCATCTCAATGAAAAAACTATTGATTTAATTAAAAACGATGAAACTGATATAACAAATAACAGCGATAGTGAAAGTAGAAACAATTACGAATTAGAAAAAGAAACTGATAAATCTGATGTTGATATTTTAGATTCTGAACATAGACTTTCAAACAATATTAACGATACAGACGTAGTAAAAAGTAATTTTAATAAAGACGTAATACAATGGGCAGATCGTATAAAGACATCTTCTAACGATGTTAATAAATCAACAAATGAAAATGAACGGGAAGATCGGCCGTTTAGTGAAACTGAAGTAGAAGAGTCCGATAGTTTAGAGGACGACACACCATTGTCATATAAAGAGAGTGAAAGTGCAGTAAGTAGAAGTGAGGAGAATACGATTTGGCAAAATGTAGACAAAGAATTATTAAAAATTATACCTGGCAACCTACGAGATCTAACAAACGATTACTCTAATGAAGAACTGAGTGAAAATGACGATATAAAAGAAGTAACAGATGAAATAAGCGGCAGTTATTCTAGTGAAGAATTGAGCGATAATGAAGACCTAAATCAAATAAGTTTAAAAGTTTTTAGTAGATCTGGAAATCTATCAGAATCGGACGTAAATAAAGATGATGAAGATTCGTCTAAAGAAATGAAACCAAATGTTGAAACTAAAGAAACATTGGAATTGTTTCAAAACGAATTTAAAACCAATGACAAAAATGTAGTAAATTCTATTGAAACTAACAGAGCGGGACAGACAGTTACAAAAGAGGATTGCGATGACAATGATGAATCTAAAGAAAGTAATAATGAAACGCACAAATCTTACAATTTATCATTCGTGTTCAGCAGATAAAAAATAATCATACATATTGTAGGTTAAAATATTAATACAGTTAATAATTGTGATAATAGTTATCTGAAAGAATAATGCAGGCGCGTCCATTTTGTAATTATATTAAATTCAATAAAAGAAATAATATCGCTCTTACATTTATATTTCTTAAATGACTCCATCAATTTTAGAGAATACAATACAATAATTATTCAAACTTATTTAAAGCACTTGAATTTAAGTTTCTTTTGCGAAAAACTAGCATCAATCATAACTGTTCTTGTTATATGTATAGCAAACAAGCTTACGGCTCACCTGATGGTGAGCGGTTGCTTATAAGCATGAACAGCAACTACGTAATTTAAGAGTACTAACATGTCACGTCTCTTATCCTGTAATTTCACTTCCTAATCTGCACTACAACCGAAACAGCTTACAAAGCAAGCTGCTTGGCTGAAATAGGTGAGACTGAGGTACACACGCAGACGAGTTTTACAGGATCTCTATCTGTTGCGCAAAACTGCATTAAAATTCGTTGGTTGATTTAAAAGATACAAGCGTACAGACAGTGGCGGGACTTTGTTTTATTATTATTATTACGTAGTATTACACAAAGTCGTTGTCGCTGTCGCTGTCCGACCCGATTCTGAAGCTGATTTAATAGATAGAGTGATTCAAGAGGAAGCTTTATATATATAATATCAAAAACATAAATGTGAAATGATAGCCGAGTTTAATATTATGATATATGCCTTGATTGTTGACTTCTACGACAAAAGAGATGAGATCTAAATGGGTGCCAAGTTCAATGGTCTGTCCTGAAATGTATTTATAACAATATAAAATATCATTTCTTCTTATAACTTAGGATAATATACTGTAGCCTAAGGTCTAACTTGGCCAGTTCTCATATACCAATTATTACTTTCGATTGCTAGTTACTATTAATATTAAAATAGGAACCGACAAGTAACATGTTTAGAACTTGCGAAGGCTACAGTATATTTCGTATATGAAAACTACCAAGTGCCAAGTTAGACCTTAGGCTACAGTATATTATCCTAAGTTATAAGAAGAAATGATATTTTATATTGTTATAAATACATTTCAGGAGAGACCATTGAACTTGGCACCCATTTAGATCTCATCTCTTTTGTCGTAGAAGTCAACAATCAAGGCATATATCATAATATTAAACTCGGCTATCATTTCACATTTATGTTTTTGATGGGATATCATTACTTTTTGTGCATAAATTATACGAGGTACTTATTTCTAACTAAATTAATACCAATTCATTTTTGATAAATTACTGTATTTTCGTATATTTACGGGGTATAATTGTCTTTTTTTTGTGTTATTTTCTATATTTTCTTGTAACTTTTAAATGTTCAAGTGCAATGCCAATTCAGTATCAGGAATTTTTGGGCAAATCGGGGCGGTATAACGTCCACAGATGGTTGTACTCTACAATAGAGCTCTCGTGACTTGGATCTAAATTGTTAAGACGTACTCCATCTAAGGTTTTAACTCTGGAGAGTCCAACGTAAACCTGCCCTTTATTAAATATAGAGGAGGCTATGTTGAGAAGAGGACTGCCAAAACTAAGGCCTTGTGATTTGTGGATAGTAATAGCATATGTTAAGCAAATACGGAATTGTTCTCTTTCAACATATACATTATTTAATATCTGAAACTTCGTATTGATACGTTATAGTTCGTAAAGACGATTATGTAACAAATTTACTGTTATCTATTGAATTCTCAAGAAAACAATTTGTTACCAATGAGTTCTCATTCTCGAGTTAACTATACATTCCTACTTATAACTATACTAAAATTGTTATTAATTTAATTTAATTACTAAAATAATGTAATAATAATATAATCACAAATATATAAGTATAATTTAAGAAAGCTATGAATTTAATAAATCGCAACCTTATAGGTTAGATATCGAGAAACAAAATGGCGCCGCCGCGGCGCCCTATACCGAAATGCCTATTATTTAATAATTATGTATAAAAATAATGATTTTACACTATCGATGTGCGCTAAATATTGAAACAATAATTAATACCAAATCTCAGTTAATAACATAATAAATACGAAATTCGACTATACTCCTAGTTATAAGTACGAGTATATTTTAGACAGAATCTAAATTATAGCAACTAGTGTTTACCGCTCAATGCAATATTTGAAGTTTGCTAGTTATCGACACTGATGTGAAGGGGTCAACGTAAATTGGTAATGATCGACGTTTTCATACAATATTACTTTCCGTCCAGTACAAGATGAGATTTTTCGCCAGGGATCAATGTCAATTGGTGGCTATCGACGTTTTCATAGAATTTTAGTATTCGTCCAGTATAAGTTGAAATAGAATCAATTAAAGTGAAAAATTGTAGTAAAATGATAACAATTTACCAGTTTCAGATTTTTTCCTTTATATTCACCTAATTACCTATCTGCATACCAAATTTGAACTTCCTAGGTCATCTGGAAGTGGGTTATAATTTTGATCTATAGTTGATCAGTGATAAAAATGACGATTTTTGGACAATAATATCTAAATAACCGTTTGAGATATGTTTATGAAATTTGGAACACATATTTATCTCGCAAGTCTCAATATATGAACCAAATTTGACAGGTTTGTGTGAAAGAGTTTTTGAGTTATGAGGGGGTCAAAAGTGGCTCCAAATGGTTCGTGTAAATATACACACGGTGCTGCAGGCCAGTTTACTTGAAACTCGGCTTGACACGCTGCCGCGTGTCTAGATACATGTACAGTTGTACACCGGTGCGAAGCCGGGGCGAGTAGCTAGTAATATAATACAATAGGGTATTGCGTAAATTAACTTAAAAAAACTTTGACATATTTAATTTTGAATTCGCAGGGTCATATTACATTTTTTAAGATTTTTAGGTTTAGATTCTTTGTGCTAGTCATAAAAAATGTAAACTTCATATTTTGTTTAAAGATTAGACTATCAAATCGCTGAAAAATAATTGTTTTGATTTCATTGGACATCTTCCTTCAGCAACGATAACAAACTTTTTTGATTTTACCCAAATGTCGTTTACTAAAGTTAGTAATTCGTTTTATGGCAATTGCGTAAGGTTTTACAACAAAATACCAGAGTCTGTTATAAATCTGCCAGAAAACAAGGTTTAAATGTCAAATAAAACACTTCCTTTACAAAAAAGCTTACTATAAAATTGAAGAATTCGTTAACGATAATAATGTTTTTATAGAAAAACTTTAAATCCATAGCACTGACAATATTATCTGATTACACTAATAATGAGTGCGTAGCGATTTCTATGTTGATTATCTGTAATTATTATATAAAAGAAAATATCTATTCAAAACAGCAACACACAAGTTTCTTGCTCATTCTTCTTGTGATGAGTCTGCGTTCCTAATGAGTGGTAGAATCAAAATATGACTATTCAAAAGTGCTTGTAATGAGTTTATTTGAATAAAGATTATTTCTATTTCTACAGCCGGCCTATCTGTCTCGTCATAGAAATAAATAGCCCACACATTTAAGTAATTATCAAATTCTAGATATACGTAGAAAAGTAATAATTGAAAACCGTTAGATTATCAAGTTCGATTCAATATGTGATACAGCAAATTGATTACACGATCAAAAACGTCACGTCTACTGAACCAGATTTGTCTGGTTGGCACTGAATTATTTTATATTTTTATCTAGAGATGTGCTGACTCGTAACAAACATGACTCGAGTTAACTCGAGTTGAAATTCAGGTAACTCGAGTCGCACCGGTGTACATGTATTATATATATAAAGCTTCCTCTTGAATCACTCTATCTATTAAATCAGCTTCAGAATCGGGACGGACAGCGACAGCGACTTTGTGTTATACTACGTAATAATAATAATAAAACAAAGTCCCGCCACTGTCTGTACGCTTGTATCTTTTAAATCAACCAACGGATTTTAATTCAGTTTTGCGCAACAGATAGAGATCCTGTAAAACTCGTCTGCGTGTGTACCTCAGTCTCACCTATTTCAGCCAAGCAGCATGCTTTAGGATTTAACAGGATAAGGGGCGTCACATGTTAGTACTCTTGAATTGCATAGTGCTATTTATGTATATAAGTATAAATTCAAATTCAAAAATCATTTTAATGCAATTGAGAAGAACTGGCAAGAAACTCAATTCAACGAGTTTTATTTTTAAAGCCAGTTTATTTACAATGTATATTTATATAGGTGTCTATGTCTAACATTAAATGAAAATCCCGTGCATGAACAACTATTGCCATGCACGCTCGTCATTCAAGTAATCGTTTAGTGAGTAATAGGGTTTGCTCAGTAAATATGATTTAACAGATGTTTTGAATTTATTTAAGGGTAATTCTAACATATCCTTTGGTATCTTATTGTAAATTTTTATATCTATAAATTTAATTATTCACTCCCTTTCTTATATCGTCTTTCACACAGTCCACCCATCTCTTATTCTGCCTTCCTCTACTCTTACAACCATCCGCATTCATATATAACACCCTCCTTAATGAAGGTGGAAGTGTCTTATGTGATTAAATTATTTTTGAATTTAAATTTCTACACTTTTGAAAGTCCACCGCGGTAAAGTGAATCACTGGTTTGTTTTTTACATTTTGGTTTTTCCAATTTATGAAACTCCGTATCGCTTTATTTTATGATTAAATAGGATTTGTATTTTAATAATTAGTATTGGATTATAATATTTAAGTTATCATAGAGATAACCTTGCACGCAACACCTCTACTTGCTGTTAACAATAATACATCAAGTTAACTGATGTTTGTTATCTGTAGAACTAGAGTGGGAGCGTCTTGACCTATTCATTAAGTTATTTTAAACTTCCGTGTTTAATATTCATATATTTTATTATAAATAATGTATTATTACATTATTAGGAATATAATAAAATAATAGTTGTTCATGCACGGGATTTTCATTCTATGTTAGACATAGACTCCTATATAAATATACATTGTAAATAAACTGGCTTTAAAAAAAAGTAATTCAATTGAGTTTCTTACCAGTTCTTCTCAATTGGATCTATATACCGAACTGGACGGTAGGGAAAAAAATAAAATTATAATGTAAAAACTTGACGTTCATAAGCGGCTAAAATGTCCTACATGAATATTTATTTTTGAATTTGAATAATTTTATGGCAAATAAAGGTATTCTCTCGACTTCGACTAGGTTGCACTAGCCGTGGTCACGAGCTGACTGGAGCAACAGCGATGTCAATGTATAATAGATAGCTGACAGCAGTTTTTTCATCTACCCTCAAACCTATTAATTTGGTTGATAATCAAATTAATAGAAGAGAACAGAATATAATTTATTCAAATAAACTTACATTGAAGCACTTTTGAATAGACATAACAATTCTTTTTTATCTACCACTCGTTCGAAAGCTGTCTCATCACAAGAACGATCAAGAAACTTGTGTGTTGCTCTTTTAAATAATCCTTGTAAGTTTACATTTACAAGTCGAAACGTGTGAATACAAACTACCAACCAGCACTAATTTATTAGGGTCAAATATAAATATACAATAAGATTGAATCAGTTTTGATGGTTTGTTATGGTATACTTCACCTTGTACTAATTTAATGTTTTATCTACATTTAATAACAATTAATCCCGTATTTAAACTATAATAAAATCTATTAAAAGAATACATTATCAGTTAATATAGTGATAACGATACTATATAACATGGCTGCAAGTTTACGTGGATGCACTAAGTTTTTGTTTGCAATATGAAGCTGATAGTTTTCGTTGTGGCCCTGCTCGGCGCGGTGGTCGCTGAAGAGCAAATCGCTCTCAACTACCACGAGGCTGTTGGTATTCCTCTGGCTGCCAGCATCAGGAGGTCGGAGGAGGCTGGAGACTTCGATGGCGCGAGGATCGTGGGAGGCTCGGCGGCGAGTCTCGGTGATCATCCTCATTTGGTGAGTTCATTTATATACGGTGGTGTAGTTTTGATGGTCGCGGGTTCGATTCCTGGTATAAACGTTTGTATTCATGGGTATGAATGTTTGTGTGAAAGTTTATGAACGTCAAATTTTATAATAAAATAATTAATTAATTTAAGAAATGTTTTTGTTTATTCGAATTTAAAATTATATTGTAATATATCTAAGTATCTAAATATATATAACTCAAAGGTGACTGACATAGTGATCTATCAACGCACAGCCCAAACCACTTTACAGATCGGGCTGAAATTTGGCATGCAGGTAGATGTTATGACGTAGGCATCCGCTAAGAAAGGAGTGGTTTGGGCTGTTTTGATAAATGTTCCTTTGATATATTATTTTCATAAGAATCACAGACAATACATAATACGACATAAGATTTATAAATTGTGTTATTATGTGTGATCTGTAGCAATACAAACAGGTCGAAGCTCAGCGTGGAACATTGTTCAGAGAACAAAACACTGATGTTCAGCTTCAACCCATTTGAGGGTACGTGAAAATAATAATTAAAATAAATATAAAATAAAAAGAGCAATATAATTGGTGACTGTGTGTGCGGTGTGTGTATAATAAACATAATGTAAATAGTTCACAGTATAATTTGATATAATTTTAACTGAGTGGTAAGGATCAACAAAAAGAAAAAAAAGAAAATATTAATAAGAAAAAATTCTGTACTGTAACACGCATGTATTATACATATAAATAAAATTGTAGTGTCTGTTTGTAATATTGAAATAACCGTTTTTTACTACATGCATATGAATATATATAAGGTACATATATACCAATATAACACTGTTTACAATTTTTGTCTGTCTGTCGGTCTGTTTGTTCCGGCTAATCTCTGAAATGGCTGGACCGATTTTGAAGGGACTGTTATTGGCAGGTAACTGACGTAATAAGGAGTAACTTAGGCTACTTTTATTTTAGAAAAGTGAAGTTAAATTCCACGCGGACAAAGTCACAGACATAGTGTTATATAAACGTGTAGTATGACTCTGTGACAATGTCACATTGCAGGGCGGTCTGCTCATCACGCTGACCAGCGGCTCCACCTCCGTCTGTGGATCTTCTCTCCTCACCAACACGCGCGGCCTCACCGCGGCCCACTGCTGGTGGGACGGCTGGAACCAGGCCACCCAGTTCACTGTGGTCTTCGGCTCTCTGCTCCTCTTCTCCGGCGGCACCAGGGTCACCACCAACTCCGTCGTCCTCCACGGCAGTTACAACATCAACAACTTGAACAATGACATCGCTGTTATCAACCTACCTTTCGTTAGCTACACGAGTTAGTATTAAGTCTTCTTTATCATCATCATCTGCTACATCATCTTTTTCATTTGTTCACTCCCTTTCTTATCATATCATATCTCACACAGTCCATCCATCTCTTTTTCGACCTTCTTCTGCCTTTAATCCCATTTGTTTGTGGTCGTCGTAATATGTTTTCCTCATCCATTCATCTCTGTTTGCAGTCATCTCGTTATGCACTCCCTTTCTTACAATATCATCTTTCACATAGTCCATCCGTCTCTACAGCTCCTAGCTAAGCAGAGCTTGTTTTATGGACTGCATTACTTAATACATTTTTTGGTAAATTCATACTCATAAATACATGCTACATTTTGCATCGTGCGATGTATCGAACCCACGACCTTCGGAAATAAAGGGGTGTGTTAAACCGCTACACCACCGAGGTCGTCCAAGTCTGGTGTGAGTTAGTTGCCATGTGTTGGTTAGTTTTATTAATACACCAGCTACTCGCCCCGGCTTCGCACGGGTGTACATGTAATAGAATAGAATACAAAATAATTTATTCAAATAAACTTACATTGAAGCACTTTTGAATAGTCATCACATTTTTTTTATCTACCGCTCATTTGAAAAGCTGTCTCATCACAAGAAGAACGAGCAAGAAATTTGCGTGTTGCTCTTTTAAATAAAATTATTGTTACTTTACATTTTTAAGTTTAAGTGTGTGAATACAAACCACCAATTAGCACTAATTCAATTAAATACTCAAATAGAAAAAATATTGAATATACAACCAACTGGTTAAACAATTAATAAGATAAAATCAGTCATAGTGTTAGAGATGTATTATACATATAAACCTTCCTCTTGAATCACTCTATCTATTAAAAAAACCGCTTCAAAATCCGTTGCGTAGTTTTAAAGATTTAAGCATATATGAGGACGGACAGACAGCGACAGCGACTTTGTATTGTACTATGTTTTATTAATAATAATGTTAATTCCACAGACAACATCCAGCCAGTGGGTTTGCCTGTCAACCAGCTCAGTAACACCTTCGCCGGCAACCTCGCGTGGGCGGCCGGCTTCGGCAGGCGGTGGGACTGTAAGTATACTCATGTATATATCACATCAAAAACATACACGTGACATGATAGCCGAGTTTAATATTACGATATATGCCTTGATTGTTGACTTCTACGACAAAAGAGATGAGATCTAAATGGGTGCCAAGTTCAATGGTCTGTCCTGAAATGTATTTATAACAATATATAATATCATTTCTTCTTATAACTTAGGATAATATACTGTAGCCTAAGGTCTGACTTGGCCAGTTCTCATATACCAATTATTACTTTCGATTGCTAGTTACTACTAATAATAAAATAGGAACCGACAAGTAACATGTTTAGAACTTGCGAAGGCTACAGTATGTTTAGTATTATTTTTTTCATTTTTTCCTTTATATTCACCTAATTACCTATCTGCATGCCAAATTTGAACTTCCTAGGTCATCTGGAAGTGGGTTATAATTTTGATCTATAGTTGATCAGTGATAAAAATGACGATATTTGGACATTAATATCTAAATAACCGTTTGAGATATGTTTATGAAATTTGGAACACATTTATCTCGCAAGTCTCAATATATGAACCAAATTTGACAGGTTTGTGTGAAAGAGTTTTTGAGTTATGAGGGGGTCAAAAGTGGCTCCAAATGGTTCGTGTAAATATACACACGGTGCTGCTCGCCAGTTCTCTTACTTGAAACTAGTGACCCAACAAACGTTGTTTTGCCATATAAATTAAAAACCAGGGGTTGATGGTGGAAGGGTAAAAATTTAGGGTTGTGTGTATTTTTAAAGTCACATTTGTCAAAAATTGTAATAAAAATAAAAGTTAAGGGTGGACGACCCTTATGACTTAGGGGTATGAAAAATAGATAGTAGCCGATTCTCAGACCTACTGAATATGCATATGAAATTTCATAAAAATTTGGAATTATTTATTTATTTATATAATCTTATTATTGCACTAAAAAAATTACTTTAATAAAATTAATAGAGTAATTATAATTAAGAGGGTACAAAAAGCTTATGCAATCTAGATGGCGCTGTGTGCTATTGTCCAGGGTTATTTATTTATTTATTTATTATAATTCATATGGTCGTATTTCGACCACTGAATGGTCACTGGTAATAAAGGACTTTTCTTTGTACATTTCAGCTCAACCCATCACCAACACCCAGTACCTGAGCCACGTGCAGCTGACGGTCATCACCAACGCGGTGTGTGCGTCCACCTATGGTACATCCACGGTGGTGGCCTCCACCATCTGCACCAGCGGCACCAGCCTCCAGGGAACCTGCCAGGGTGACTCCGGCGGACCGCTCTGGTTGTGGATCGGAGGCCAACGGATTCTCGTTAGTATTCCCTACTAAAGTGGCTATTTTTTTATAGGGTGTAAACGAGCTTGCGGCTCGCCTGATGGTAAGTGATTGCCGTCCATGAGCACTCGCAACTTAAAGAGAATTGCTCTCATTGCGCATTCCCTTCTAAATTATAAGAGAAGAATAAAGAGAGCGGATTTTATTTTATATAGAACTAGCTACTCGCCCCGGCTTCGCTCGGGTGTACATGTATTGTATATATAAAGCTTCCTCTTGAATCACTCTATCTAATAAAAAAACCGATTCAAAATCCGTTGCGTAGTTTTAAAGATTTAAGCATACATAGGGACGGACAGCGACAGCGACTTAGTTTTATACTATGTAACAGTGTTTAATTTCAGATCGGTGTGACATTAAAAAAAAATGTCTGTCTATCTGTATTTGTTAATCTCGGAAACGGCTGCATCTGTTTCGATGGTATTTTCACTAACAATGTTTATTTCAGATCGGTGTGACGTCGTTCGTGGCGGCCGCCGGCTGCCAGGTAGGCCTGCCCGCCGGGTTCGCTCGCGTCACCTCCTTCGTGCCCTGGATACAAGACAGACTCTGAACATATATATTATAGCATGAGGAATACCTGCAGTCATTATTTACTAATTTAATTAAAATAATTTCATATTAACTGAAATTTTATTTCATTTTTACCGAGATCTACTTTGCACAAAGTCAGTATCAATTCAAATTCAATAATCATTTATTCATGTAGGACATTTTAGCCGCTTATGAACGTCAAGTTTTTTACATTATAATTTTATTTTTTCCCTACCGTCCAGTTCAGTATATAGATCCAATTGAGAAGAACTGACAAGAAACTCAATTGAATTACTTTTTTTTAAAAGCCAGTTTATTTACAATGTATATTTATATAGGTGTCTATGTCTAACATTAAATGAAAATCCCGTGCATGAACAACTATTGCCATGCACGCCCGTCATTCAAGTAATCGTTTAGTGAGTAATAGGCCCTGCTCAGTAAATATGATTTAACAGATGTTTTGAATTTATTTAAGGGTAATTCCAATATATCCTTTATTATCTTATTGTAAATTTTTATGCCTATTCAAATCACCAGTCATCATCATCATCTGCTTCTTCCTTATCCCATTTATTTGTGGTCGGCGTAATATGTTTTTCTCTTCCATTCATCTCTGTTCGCAGTCATCTCGTTATTCACTCCCTTTCTTATCATATCATCTTTCACACCGTGAGTTTAGATGAGTATTTATTTACCATTTATGTATGTCTATTGATGCTTATAGTTAATATCATTAGAACAATATTTTAATATCTCCTCCTTTCGTGCACGTATATATGACTATTCTAATACACAATTTTAATACACTATCCTATAACATTTTCTAGGTTAGCTGGAAGAAATCTCTTTTTAGAGACAAGCTCGCCCTTGTACATTGCACTTATTCTATATAATTTCATTTACTATGTGTGTGTGTATAATAAAGAATAAAAAAAAGATGTTACTATACAATAAGTGATTATATATGACTAGCTTTTGCCCGCGGCTTCGCTCGCGTTAAGAAGCATTATTATTAATTATAGTGTAGTTTTTGCGGCTTTACTTTTGTTTGACGTGTGTAGAAATTAGGGCCTACAAAACTTCTTTGTACACAATATTCTTAACTAATCTGTCATTAGGCGCTAAAACTATCAAGCTATTGGGTGAACTTACTCGTGAGCAAGCAACATAAAACTGTCCATGAGAGAAGCAATGTTCTCTCAAGTCAATACCCGCAAATTTGAGAGTTTGCCCCTACTTTCATCCCCTATTTTATCCCCTTAGGGGTAGAATTAATCAAAATCCTTCTTAGCGGATGCCTACGTCATAACATCTACCACCACTAATTGAACATAATGATTTTATTTATATATTTTGTCACTATACAGATTTTATGTAACTACATACCTTCAATATTTAATTAATTATATTTAAATAGTGCTTTTATGGATGTCTTCAAGAGATGATGGCAATATGTACGTGTATATGTACAAGTTATTAAGTGTTAAGTTTTTGAAATGTACTATAAAGAATAAATATTTTTAAGTACAGTACTTACGTACATTAATATAATACCTACTTTTTACTTGTATCTATTGTTATCAAAATTAAATTATAAGTTCTCGACTTAACCACGACTATGTGACCCCCTCCTGGTGCCAAACCTGGATCCGCTCTTGGGGCTAACTGACCTGATCTCATGCATCTTATCATCCTCCACTGGTGCCCCGCCAGCGTATACCGTTAGCGCAGGCGGGTGCACCATTACATCATCATTCATTAAAAAAAAACTGTGTCCCATAGATCCCAGATACGTATGGTATTTTGTTATAAAATCTTACACAACTCTAGTTAAACGGCATTTAGGTAAAATCACTTTGTTATTGTTGCTTTTTTTCGGACTACTCTAATGCTGGCCGCAGCTGCCTTTACAGCTTCACCGGACGTTAGGGGCCGAGTGCAGATGACACAAACCAAAGGACTTATGGAGCGGCTGAAGGCCAACTCCTGCCTAAAGGATACGACTTTAGGCACCGCTAGAGGTTCGAACCTCGGCTCAGGCCATCGTAACATCGATCCCCGTTTGAATTGGACGGACCGGAGGCACCGGTGTGGAGCGCCCGGTTGAATGCGCGATATAGTGTGTTTGAGATCGTCGTCTTCGCCGGCGAGGACGGTGTCGTAATTGTGTGTAATAGTATGATCGGGACGGAGCTATTGTTACGTAAGATTTTATTAATGTAATCACTAAATCTTTTGAAACTGTCTATATTTTTCAAGATTTTGAGACAAAAGTAGATACGGGTTTTACACACTTTAACACTATTTTATTTACAATTTGTAGACCAAGTACACACACTGACACAAACTTTTTCAGTTTTTTTAGTGACAATAAACAAGGAGTGTAGCCCTAGTAACCAGGGGCGCGTCGACCTCATACAGCGCCTGTGTGCGAAACCTACACTTTTTTTTATTATTAATATTTTACGGCTCTGGGTACAAGTCCTTTTTAGCCCAACATAAAAGTTGGTGTTGCTATGTTTATGCTATTGAATTTAATTAATATATGCATTTATATCTATACATATAAATAAAATTGGAGTGTCTGTTTGTAATATTGAAATAACAGTTTTTTACTACATGAATTTATTATATTATATTCATAATATAATTACGGTACATACACCAAAATTACATTTTTTAGAATTTTTGTCTGTCTGTCTGTTTGTTTCGGCTAATCTCTAAATCTAAATGGTTAGACCGATTTTGACGGGACTATTTTTGGCAGGTAGCTGATGTAATAAGGAGTAACTTAGGCTACTTTTATTTTAGAAAAATAAAGTTAAATTTCACGCATCCGCTAGCTTTTGCTACTTTTGTTGGCTTCAACTAAAAAAAATTTTGATCACGGCGCACCTATTGCTTTGGTGCCTGTGGTGCACACAGGCGCTTACAAAGCAAGCCGCTTGGCTGAAATAGGTGAGACTGAGGTACACACGCAGACCTAGACCTGATTGGACTGATTGTTTTTGCAATATCACATGCTGGTGGTCACTCTATTCTCCCAAATTTGAATTTAAAAATGAATCTGTATTATTGTAAACATGTACAAACCTATTTGAAAAGAATACGAGCTGAGTTTCTTGTCAGTTCTTCTCATCTTGTACAGTCTACCTCTAGTAAAAGCATATGTAATTAATTATTATCATTTCTTTATATATGAAAAAGTTGTCGTGAATTTACTGTCATGGTGCGGCAACACTGTTACCTAGTTACGACTGAACAAGAAGATGAACAAGTCTGTCATTGGAGACCGAATCCTCTTGTAAATATACTTCATATGTAGTTCTAACGAGTGAAGCCGCGGGCAAAAGTTAGTTGTTTATATAAACACTTATTGTACAGTCAAATCTGTACTGTGTGAAAGATGATATGGTAAGAAAGGGAGTGAATAACGAGATGACTGCGAACAGAGATGAATGGAAGAGAAAAACATATAACGACCACAAATAAATGGGATAAGGAAGAAGCAGATGATGATGATGACTGGTGATTTGAATAGGTATAAAAATTTACAATAATATATTGGATATATTGGAATTACCCTTAAATAAATTCAAAACATCTGTTAAATCATATTTACTGAGCAAGGCCTATTACTCACTAAACGATTACTTGAATGACGAGCGTGCATGGCAATAGTTGTTCATGTACGGGATTTTCATTTAATGTTAGACATAGACATCTATATAAATACACATTGTAAATAAACTGGCTTTTAATTTTTTTTTATTAATATGTTTTACGGCTCTGGATACAAGTCCCTTTTAGCACAACTTAACAAGTACATTAATTCGACATTTTACAATGTTTCAATTGAGTGTCTTGCCAGTTCTTCTCTATTGGACCTATATACCGAACTGGACGGTAGGGAAAAAGTTATAATATAAAAAAAATCTCGTTTATACGTGGCTAAAATGTCCTATATGAATAAATGATGTAAATGTATTAGTTTTAACCTATGGCTGTATTCGTACATAAGTATATTGTATAGGCAGCGCGCATGCGAAGCTGCGCGCGCAACTTATATATGTCACTTGGTGGTCTCATATAAAATTAAATTAGATAAACGTTTGCTTTGTAATTTTATATAAATATAATCCAGATCAAGCCCATAACTGGAGACCCCGCTCTTGGACAGAACCGTAAGGATATGTAATTCATATTTTTAAAGAACAAAATTACATATAAAACACAATTTTACTGATATAGGTATATGAACATCGTGTCTTTGGAAAATACAATAGCTACCGAACCATCTGAACTGTTCAAAGTCAGAATACGCGTTCCTCCTGTCTGGCCGGAAGAGGCAGAAATATGGTTCGCACAAGTAGAGGGACAATTCGCAGTTTCAAATATTACATCGGATATAACAAAATTTAATTACGTTATTGGACAACAACTTTCGAAATCATCAATTTTCGAAAGAAGTCAAAGATATTATAATCTCTCCACCTTCTACTGAAAAATATGTTAAGTTAAAAACAGAGTAATTAAAAATTTTATATATAAGATTAAGTATTATGGTATGTACAGGTGTAGTAAATATAATTGTTTTAGGTTATTTCTTTTCGTTACAGTGTTATATATCTACAAGTAAATAATTATTATGTATATATTACTTTGTAGCTAGGGCTAGCCAGAATGGCATATATGTGGGTACATTGTTATTAATATTTTATGTTCACCGTCAATATAATAAAGAATCAGTCTCGTAAAGTGTCTTGTCATTATAACATCCTAGTTAACAGTTGTGCACTATAATATAATACATACCACGTCGCCTCGCGTGAAAAACAAGTAAAACAACTTCAGCAGACTACCACACAGCGACCCATAAACCTATCAGTACCAAATGACACGAATAAATTAAGACGAACAATACTTTTTAGTTCTTTAGGCTACTTTTATTTTATAGAAATAAAGTTGAATTCCACGCGGATAAAGTCACGGGAACAGCTAGTTTATATATGTATA